CCCCACCCCGCGGCAATTTTTATTATTATATATTTTCAGTTACGCAAATAGACCAAGCCGTGGAAACAGGCAGAAATGCAAGATAAGGCTGCGTACAATAGACCCTTGTGGTCCGGCCCTTTCCGGACTCCGCCCATAGCGGGAGCTTAGTGTACCAGGTTGCACAGATTTTCAGTTCTGGTTTTTTATTTTTCAGTTTACAGGTTCGAAATTTTACGAGTTCCAAAGTCATGAGTTCAGAGGTTTACGTGTTTGGAAGTTTGCTGGTTTAGAAATTATAGAATTTATGGGTTCGAAATTTTGCGAGTTCGAAAGTTTGGTGGTTCAGAAGTTTATGAAATTTGTGGGTTCGGATGATTGTTGGTTCGAAAGTTTATAGCTTAATGTTTATTGTATCTAAATTATTTATGAATACTCTTGAGAAGTTATTTTTCTTAATTTGCAAATGAGCAAGATAACTACTTGTTTTCCAAGAAAATATTTTCCACGGAAAACATTTTTCATTATACCAAACACACCCCTAATGTTACTTTAAGTCAAATAGAATAATAGTTAATGTGTCACATTTTATGTTAGTTATTTTACTATTTGTTAACTTTATTAGTATTTTAAAAGTTGAACATGCCTATGAATTTTTCAAATATTCTTAAATAATTTTGTTTTGAATTCTTAAGTTTACGACTATAATAATACTTTCTGAAGTTTGTTCTAAAGCTTTCTGCTTTAATTGAATTATTGAGAACACATAGAATAGTTAGTGAATGTAGGAAACTTCTGCCATGATTCCTCTTTTTATTTTTTCCTCTTTTTGGTACCTATACTTTCTAAGTAAAGAGCTAAATAAAGAAGATATAGAAGAGAAGAAAAAACTTCGTCTCACATTTGATTGTTTATATCAAACTAATAAACAAAAAACATGTGTCTTCATATGCAATTTTACAACTAATAGTAATAGTTACTAATTAATAAAAAGTGTATATATATTATCTAACTCAATTTATATTTATCTCCAATAAAAGTAATGTAAAATGACTTGAAACTGCAATACGTTTCGGACTATTAAAATTCCTATTTTTATCAAACTAATAAAGAGATAAGTAAAGAGCTAAATAAAGAAGATAAAGAAGAGAAGAAAAAACTTCCTCTCACATTGAGTGTTTATAAAACTAATAAACACATAATATGTGTCTTCATAAGCAATTTTGCAACTACTAGTAATAGTTACTAATTAACAAAAGGTGTATATATTATCAACTCAATTTATATTTATCTCCAACAAATTAAAACTAATGTAGAATGACTTGAAACTGCAATATGTTTCGGACTATTAAAATTTCTATTTTGCTGGATCATTGGTTGTAACTTCGCTGAAATTAACCATCCCCACATGCTTACCAAACAAGTCGCTATCTTTAGGTTTGATACGGTAATTATTTTTTGCACAAAATGGAGGGCTTAACTGGAAAAGTGGGAAATTGTGGGACGAATATTAAGAAAGTTTTTGACCAATATTGTCCCTTATTTTGTATGGTAAGTCTATTTTGATCCCTCAAATATAACTCTGAGCATATTTAGTCCCTTAAATATGCTAAGTAGAGCACCTTTGGTCTCACTAAAAGAATCTGTCCAAAAACTAACGGTGTTAACCAACTCTGATTAATGAAGCGAATCTTCTGCTCTAAAGCAAAACGCTTCCTCTCCTTTTATTGGAAATGAACCCGGACGCATTTCTTGCGTGGCCGAACCCATAGATCTTGATGTATGCCTATCTTTTACTTGGACCACTAACGCAAATTATCACTTTAATTCATTATTTTTAGATAATGTCTTCTAAAATTTTGACCTTGAAAATATCCCCTTATGTGTCCGTTTTCGATGAGAAAATGACATTATATAGCTGTTGTAAAAATAATAACCGAAAAATGTATAAAATTTGTATATATTTTGTGTATATATATATTTTGTATGTTAATATACAAAAATTATACAATTTTTATATTCGGCTATCAGATATAAATAGTTTATGGGATGGGCTAAAAGTGATAATACAATCCGGTTATTCGTTTACTTCAATAATATGCCTAGAAGTGATTTTGGCAACTCTATTTTTTCCAAATTTTAAATTTTCTTTTTTGAAAAAATCAACCGAAATTTTTAAAAGTAAAAGTTTCAACGTTAAAATCTTAAATTTATCAGCTTTGTACTATTAGTTGGTGTTGGTTTATAAAATATTTTCGATAAGTAAATTAAAAAGACGGTGATTGCGGTAACCAACTCCGTAATTAATCTTGGACAAATTTTATCTGTGAGACTAAAGGTACTCCACTTTAGCATAGTTAAAGGACCAAATATGTTCAAGATTATATTTGAATGACCAAAATAGGCCGGATAAGGGACAACATTGGCCAAAACTCAATATTAAGAAGAAGAGCCCGAAACGTCTGAAATTGATCACTTCCTTTGCTCACAAGTTACAAAGTGTAACAAAATCCAAACACTCTTTTGACACACTGATCATGGGAAATACACTACAAAAAAACCAAGAACACGAATTGCCAGTAACAGAAGAACCAGATGAACCTCAATCATTCACCTGCGAAATTTGTGTCGAGCCTATGTTGTTACCCAACAAGAAATTCAAGAACCAAAATCGTTGTATTCATCCATTTTGTACCGACTGTATAGTAAAATACATCTCCCTCAAGCTAGAGGACAACGTCGGCGACATTCCGTGTCCTTCTCTGGATTGTAAGCACTTTTTCGACCCAATCTCTTGTCGGAATCTCGTTGGTCTACAGCTGTTTGTTAAATGGTGCGACGTATTGTGTGAGTCAGCTGTATTAGGGTTGGAGCAGTGTTACTGTCCGAATCGGAATTGTTCGGCTTTGATTTTGGATGAGTGTGGAGGGAAAGCGAAGCGATCGCAGTGCCCAAATTGCAAAAGATTTTTTTGCTTTCAGTGTAAGCTTCCATGGCATGCTGGATTTCAGTGTGAAGAGAGTCGGGAATTAAGGGATAGAAACGACGTCGCTTTTGGTGTGCTTGCGGAACTTAATAAGTGGAAAAGGTGCCCTCAGTGCCGCCGCTTTGTTGAAAAAACTGAAGGTTGCAAAATTGTTAAATGCAGGTAAATTATTTGCTGTTTACGTTCCTGTTCCCCCTTTTCTTTTTTCATAAATTCTCTTTATCCTTTGGTTAGGGTTATATGTTAGAAATATAGAGGTATATGCAAAATCTAATCTTGTAGGAAACAAAGTAAAATCTAATCTGTAATTGGGATGGATTTATAACTTCTGGGGTTTGGATTATATGGGAGTCTGGATCTTTTGCAAATTATTTTGGTATTTAATGGCAAAATTTTGCAAACCCTGATAGCAGTGCTTCTTTTAATAAAATGCATAGCCAATTCCACACTGTCTAACCAAAAAGTCCTTTCTTCTTCCATAGCGCGCTAGCCGTGGAAAAGGTGTCCAATACAGCCACTCATTTGCTGAGCTGGCCGAAAGAAGCAAGCAGAGTCTTACTCTAAAGAAAAAGCCTATTCCTATTCTAGAAATCTGCAAACTATTAATCAAAGTACTTAGTACTCACCGTGGAAATTGGCGGAAATTAATTGGCGCTGCATTTATCCCAATGAATTTTTAGCTTTTCCTTAGCCCTCTTCTTCCAGCAAATAGCAGAATCCTGGCTAGGGAACAATACTAGTGGCCTACCCAATTTTTGGTTACACCGAGGAATCATGGATCAGTGAAAGGGAAGTGGAAAGAAGGACGTGTGAAAATTGAACGCACACCTATTTGTGTGAGAGACTCCACTAGACTGTAAGCCTTGGTGTGATATCAGTATTGAGTATTGAGGATTACTCAGTAAAATTTTCTTTTTGGGGAGAAGAATCAGAGTGATGAAAAAATCATGCAAATATTTAGTATATAGAATGGTTAAGGGTCCGAATAGAGCTGACGTTTGGGATTGAAATTTGAGGCACGAGTGATTTATTGATAAGGTCTCAACTCCAGAGGAAGTAATGCGGACAAAAAAGAGCAGGATTTTGAGGACTTGGGCCTATCAATCGAGCAATTATAAATATTCGACAAGGCTACACGTATGAAGGGTACAAGGAGTTGTTTGTGGAAGCATTCTGTAGTTTTTTTCCTTAAACGGGCTTATGTACCTCGAATATGAGCAGAAGAATTATCTTATTCATGGTAAGAAATTAATGTGAGCGGAAAACTATCTAATTTATCTCTAATGCCACTTACTTGAGATTAAGCTGCCGAGCATTCTCAGTTTTCACTTATCTGAGATTTCAATTGTTATATTTTGCTCTGTTCACATTAATATTTGTTTATGACCATTGAATGTTATAGGTGGTCGCATAACTTTTGAATCCCCTAAACTAAAGCATGTATCAACTATGTTGATTTCCCAAATTTAGTCTTGTTAGTGATCCAATCAATTTTCCCAGTACTAGACAGACCTTTTCTTTGCATGTTTTTCGAAGTATTAAGCTCTAATTCTTAATGGTCCAATTAATTTATTTCCTAACCAATTAGAATGTTTATCCTTTTATTTGTTTGTGTTTACTTTTCGTCGAGAAAGAAACTCGGGAGAAAGTAGTGTCTATGAATGTTCGAGTTTTGATTTCATCTTCCAGTAAAAATTATTTCTAAAAAGAAGAGAAGAAAAAAAGAGCCTGTGAAGCCAAATATATGATATGGGAGGAAAAGAAGTTGCTCATTAGATAAACGATTTCAACATACCTGAGTTAAACAACAACCACAACAAACTCAGTGAGTTCCTACAAGTGGGGTATAGGGAGGGTAGTGTGTATGCAGACCTTAACCCTACCCTGAGGGCAGAGAGGTTGTTTCCGATAGACCCCAGCAACATACCTGAGTTATTAGGTGCTTAATTTGTTCGTATCCTAATTCCTGACGACAGTTCTCATGATTGTGCTATTTGTGTATCTTATCATAATTTATTGTATCCCCTTATGAGTTTCTTCCATTCTTTTGGTTTTGTTCAGTTCTGAGGTCTTATAAAGGCACGGCGGCCTTGAGTAAGATGTAATGTTATATGAATTTGATTGATATTGTCACACCTGTGCTCTGTTAAGAATTGTACTCTTTTGGTAATTCAAATTTCAAGTGTTTTACTTCTATCTGATTCTGTTTTTATCTAAACATAGGTGTGGTGCCGGTTTCTGCTACAACTGTGGAAAACGAGTTTATCATCACTGGTGTCATTGTAATTCTGCTTCCACAGGGACCTTTTACTGTTTTGTAATTCTTGCTATCATATATTTCTTTATCATCTTATGGATTCACTAGACTTTGCATAGACATTTATTTCTATTAAATTTGAGGTAAAAAGTAGGCTCTTTAAACATTTACTTTGAGGTATAGTTAAGATATGCAACAACATTTTGATGTGTGTCAGTTTATGCACCTGAGGCAGAGAAAACAACAAAAACAGGAAATGTATAGATGGAATCCAAGTATAGTTAAGTTCTCATAAATTAGTGCTTACTAATTGAAATTGTTTCAAAAGTTAGCTATGGCTTTGCCACTAAGGTCAGTCATCTGTACTTAAAAGAGTGAATAGTGGCATTACTCACACTCACTGGACTGTTGCTGGTACTGGAAAAAAAATATGCACCACTAGAAACTTTTTTTTTTTTTTTATTTCTCATCCGGTGTTTGCTACTTGTATTGGGGTCCAACTAAATCCGTATTCGCGCCGGAAAGTCCTACATTGGGAGGTAAAGCGTTCGACCCCTAACAAAGGCGAATCCATACCCAGGGCTCGAACCCGGGACCTCTGGTTAAGGATGAAGGAGTACTTACCACTTCATCACAACCGTTGTTGGTCACTAGAGACTTGTTTGCACCTGGTTTTGTCAAGAATGGGTAGCAAACTGCCACTGGGAAGTACTCTGTGAGTAGTGGTTATAAGTGGAGAATGGGGGGATAAGGAGCTATGGCCCTGGGGGAGATGAGTATGGAATAGAGGGAATGTGCCCAAACAGAGCTTCATATGTTGGCTGACATTGCACAACAAAAGACCAACGACCAAAGACAGATCATATAGTTAGTCTTCTTTGACGCTCTTAGTTTTGATTTGAGTTTTCATTTGGATTTGTATAGATAATATATACCAGTAGAGGTAGACAGGAGGCTACATTGTACTTGTTCGTGAAAATTAATAATTACAATTTTTCTTCACCCAAAAAAAAAAAATGCCACTAAGGTATAGGAAGATGATATTGTTATATCCCATATATTGCTGCTATTGCTAATGTCCGTATTCTTGATTTTGGTATTTACAAGAAATTTCTTAAATAAACTTTTCTCATTTAGGAAAGAATTCAACTTTTTTTGGTAATAAATCTCAAGTTTTCCTATATCTCAGTTCAGTTACCCACTTAATATCATTATTTAATTGAATAATTAGAATACATAATAATAAAACAAATAGTGCAGGGATAAAGTTACATAATGCAGGTCAAATTAAAGTTTTTTTTTGGAAAAGTATTATGAACCAATATCTTATACTAGCACAAGTCTAAACTCTAATGAATAATCCTATAACTATTAGAGATTGTACTATGATCTTTATATTATAATTCACGAATAATTTTTCCAGAAATGGAACATCCCTTTTTTTTCTTGTCAATATAATCTGTTTGGTGCAGTATCAATAGGTTGGTTTTATGGGAAGATGTAGTTATGGAATTGGCTTATGTAAGCCAAAGAGGTAATTGAAATTTCGTGGAAGCTGTCTAAACTGCTGACTAATTTATGACGACCTCTATAGCTTGTATCAATTATTAATAAACTATATAAAAAAAAAATCACTAATTTCCGTATTAAATTTCGATAGGAATTCCGCATTTGGTAAGTTAAAACATACCAAATTGTGTTTGCTGCAAAGTACAATATACATGTCTTTTGGTTATATGAATGAAATTTATATAAAGTAGTTTCCAACAAATCATGCGTAAAGTAAGAATATTAAGATTAATAATTTTCAAAAAAGGAGATATAATCAGTTTTTGGAATAAACTGAAAAAAGAAAACGTGAGACAAGAGAGAGTAGTTAGTATTTTTCCGCTAGCCCTTACAAAATTTAAATTCTCTTTCATCACCATTCTGTTTTAAAAATTCTCATCGAATAAAAGAATTGTTATACAAATAATCGATCATATTCATTGTTTATGTTTTTAGTCACTATAATAGATTATATATTGATTATACACAATTATATATATATATATATATATATATATATATATATATAAATACATGAACGACACATATATTATATATCCATCGGCTATTTTTAATTTAAAAAATTAGATGAATGGCTATTTTTAGTTTAAAAAATCCACGTAGATAAGCCTATTGGCCGATCTTGAAATTTGATGTTGACTAATAATTTGTTTGGCCAAACTTCTAAAATCAACTTATTTTGAGAAGTGTTTTTCTCAAAAATACTTTTGGCGAGAAGCAGCTTGTGTTTGGCTAATTAATTTGAAAATTACTTTTGAGCAGTAATTAGTGTCTGGCCAAGCTTTTGAAAACTGCTTCTAAATGTATTTTTCTCAAAAGTATTTTTCAGAAAAGTAATTTTGGAGATAAACTATTTTTTCCTGCTTCTCAAAAACTATTTCTATTTTTCCTCAAAAGCATTTTTTTTCCATAAAAAATCATCTTTTGGCCCCAAAAAATCTTGGCCAATAGAAGTGATGATAAGAATTGAGGCCAAAACAAAAATTCTAACATAGAATTCTTCTTTTTTTTTTTTGGTAATAAAGATAGATATTATATTTAAACAAGCATATGCGTACAGAGCGCTTCGTGCTCAGATTGCACTACTAAAGGTAAACTATTACTACTACTAGCTATATTGTTTGTAGTTTTAGCAAGCAAGCTACTAGAACAACATTCCAAAACCTTATGACTAT